TAGAGCGTCAAAATCTTGTGTTGCTGAATTTTGCCGATCCTTTGCCTTTAAGTGCGCCATATGCAAAGAGAGAGAGAAGATATAGTGGAGACCCTAAGGCTTAATTCTGACTTGAGGCATCTACACATTGCCAGTATACCCTCACCCTCAGGTACACCGTAGCCCAAACTTCACCTGTCAATTAATGCGCCAACTCCTGAAAAGTGCGCTTCAAGACTCCACCAACGCCCACTCAATAGAAGTGGGCGGAGTTGGTGGAGTTTTGAAGCGCATTTTTTAAGATTGCGCATGAATTGGCAGGTGGAGTGTGGGCTGTGGTCTACTTAGGGGGTCTGCTACCCAATTCCACCAAAATCCGAGACGGCCATTTTGCCGTTTTCCTCTGCATCCTTCATCCTCCGCCACAGTGGCACCAAAACAGCGGAGGTGGGCGCCAAGTGGGAAAGGATTTATCAAAAACGTACTCAGACATTCGCAGTTGTCATTCGCAGATCAAATTGATGTGATCTCATTGACCAACTGCACGTCACACGAGATCGGCGTCGGGGCAAAATCGAAACATCTGTGTTTGCATCGGGTCAAAAGTGCGGGGAAAAACTAGGTATCGCGACTGGCAATCTCCGGTCGATATCGGGATGACCGGAGATGCCGGAGACCGGATGACCGGGGATGCCGGAGATGCCCTGGGAGATACCATAATGTTCTGACCCTTTCGTCAACTTATGGCTTAAATACATATACATACCTCATACTTACGCACTTCATTTCTACCGTACTGTATTTTTTCACTTGGTTACTTACAATTGATGCTATAATATTTGATGCTCAATGAGAAAAATCAACACCAGCGCAACAAGAACTACAGCAAAATACATCGAGAAAGTACTTTACAAAGAAATACAGCTGGAATGGCATTGATACGATGCGTTCGTATCTGTTTTCTCAATTGCAATGTCGGTAAACTCCGTTTTTTTCGATAAAGTCCAAGAAAATGTTCACGGCATGCGCTTTTTCTGAAAAACATCAGCATTAACTTGTGAGACGAAAACTTTATTGACGCCAGGAGAGCTGCTCGGTCAGCAAAACGGTAAGCACGCACATCCGTCCTGAATAGGCGTAGTGATCACCTTCGCGTCAAACTGAAATAACATAACTCACAGTGCTCTTCCCATAGTTATGAGTGTCAGTACACTTGCTTCCGACAGTTCGTTGTTAATTCATCTGCCCTCCTCGTAGTTCTCAGCTAGGTCCATCCACCACCTAAATTTGTAATGCATGGAAGGTTTTTCAAAAGTGGACTTACCTGTTCGGGTTGCGTTCGTATTCGGATGAAGATTGTAGAAGTTTTGTCCGGTAGGGCTGAAGCGTCCAGCACGAACTTTAAACAGTATTCCAAATTCCAAACTCAATTCAAATTGAGCAGGTTTCTTCCACTTTTCTAACACTTCAGCCATATTCAAATCCTGAAAGGGTGCCTTTTGTTTATTCATTGTGATATCAAAGAACCTTAAATGTTTCTCCTTTTCAAACCTTTCCTTGCGGAAGGTTTTTTCCTTACCTTTTATTGCGTGGAATGAAGGAGTCCTCTTCATCTCCTTATCCTGATCTCTCTGATTTGTAAGAAGAGCATTAATCTGAAAAACTGTCGTCAAATGCTTGTCAGACTCTTACGTAATAGCTTACCTTTAGCAAAAGTTCGGCCAATATATTCGCCTGCTTCCTCACAGCTGCTGTGAGGGACCGCACTACAGAATCAGAAGAAGTCTGCAGTCCATCAATACTGGTGTTAATTGAAGATATTCAGGCCTTGGTCGTTCAGAGCTAATAGTATCCTAGTAGTAGTTTAGCTAGTAGTTTTCAATGCCCGTTTGGAGTAACAATCTTTGACGAGGATGCAATGATGATTTCTTGGAGATCATCCAAACAGCTCTCCATTGCGCTTGTCACGCAAAAATGCAACGCAAAGATTGCCATGTATACAAGCGTCCTGCTCGCCTGGGGAGAACGAGGCACTTGTATACATGGCAAATTTTGTGTTGCATACAGTCCAGCAACAGCCGCATGTGTTGGACTTCCACATCCTGTGCTTGACCGACGCTTGTCAACGAATGGCGGTTGCCATCGAAGTCTTGATCTCTACTTTCACCCAAACTCTCAGAGGACAGTGAAGATGTCGTAGAAATACACGCTCCTGGATAAGTACGCATCCGTTTGGGATCCGTATGAGGCAGCTCTTTTAAATAATCAGCTTTCCAGAGCATGACAGCGTTTGGGGATTGTATAACCACCGTTAGATCATGTCTGCTTCTTTTGAGGGAAAGTCTGTTTCGTCCTCCTCGTCCATCAATGCTAAAACAGTCAGCTAGAGCAAGCAAACAATTTTTTGGAGAAAGAGGAGCACTAGAAGAGCCGGGCTATAACTCTGAAAAGCGAAGAAGCTGAATCAAACTGACACATGAGAGGTGAATGTGCATAAATTCACTGGAGTTGTGACTTTGCAGCTCACAAGCTAAATACATAATAGATACATATAATAGCAGATACATGAATAATTAGATAATAGATAATAATAATAAAAATAATAGATATTCTATTATTTTATAGCAAAATCAATACTGGACATAGGTAATCCTACACTATAATTTCTTGGAGCAACTTTTGGCCTTTTTCAAGCATTAATTGTACTCAAAAACCGAAGATGGCGAGTTTTTGTAGTTTTGGACTACTTTCATTTTAAATTTTAAGTCACGAAAACAATACGGCAAGTGTACAAATGATTATCTCAAGTGTAAATGTCAGATCTAAAAGGGGGTTTGATGCTTGCAAAGGCTGATGAGATTTGGCTTTTAAGTA